AAAATTCTTGGATCACATTTTCCTTTCTTGACAATTTCTTTTTTTTAACACTTGGAGTTGAAGCCAGGCCCTTTGCACTGAACTAGATCCCTAGCCCATGTTTTATTTTATTTTGTATTTTGGGATGGTTTCACTGAGTGGCTAAATTTCCTGGGCTGGGCTTGAGCTTGCAATCTTCCTGCCTCAGCCTCTCAGAGTGCTGGATAAAGGTTTAAAGGCATGCATCACCATGCCCTGCTTCAGTTGTCTTGTTAACATAACATGTAGCTTTGGAGAAATCTCATTTTCTTTCTTATAAATGACTAGTACTTTTTGTCTGGGTGCTCAAAAAATTTTTCCTTATCTTTAAAATCCAATCATTTTCCTGGAAAATGCCTTGCTTTGACTGTTCTGGGTTATTTTTTCTGTATCCATGGAATGTTTTTTCAATACTGAGTCAAAAGGACTCAAGATTTTTTGGTACCCAGTCTGGGCTACCTAAGAGAGACCTTGTCTCAAAAAAGGAGGGAAGTGCAGAGGGTAAGAGGATGTAAAAATAATTAACATGTGTTAAGTACATGTACGACTTCCCACAATGAATGAAATCATTATCTACTGCGAACATGTACTAATAAAAATTTTAAAGTTAAAAAACAAAAACAAAACCTTTCTCTTTTCTGCCCTCATTCCTTAAAAGTTTAAAAGATTTTCCCTGAGATTAGTTCTCAATGAATATCCAACAGTTCTGTCTCAATCAAAAGTTTACTATTGCTGATTTATGCTGTTCTTAGAAAGCATCCGTTATTTCCTTCATTTAAAATAGTTTACCGAGCCGGGGATTTAGCTCAGTGGTTCTGCCGCCTGCCTCGCAAGCTCAAGGTATCTCCGGTACTAAAAAAACAAAAATACGGTTTACGCTTTCATCTGTTTTGTAACTCTTATTTTCTAGCGTGTTCTGGTCCTCTGTTGGAACATCGTTAGGTTTATTTTCACTTTCTGTTTCCACAGTAACATGTGAGATTAGGCCATAGTCACTTAATCCTCAATCCTTAAATGAGGTGAACTTTCCTGGCCTCTCAGGGTGGGTTCTAGATCCCAGAGCGCCACTGCAGGCCCCGCCCACGAGTTTAGCGCAGGACCGAGCCTCGCCCACTCTTTCCTCACTCGTCGGCCCCGCCCACGCCCCAGGCTAGCCACAGCCTACCTCGCCCTCCCTCCTGCCCGCCCCGGGGCGCCACTCTTTCCTCACTCGTCGGCCCCGCCCACGCCCCAGGCTAGCCACAGCCTACCTCGCCCTCCCTCCTGCCCGCCCCGGGGCGCCTGGCCGGCTATTTTCCCGCCATTCCTTCTCTTCTTGAGGAGAACTGGATGTTTAGGTGAGACCTGGGACGTTTTGGGACCACAGTGGCCACCGTGGAGGGAAGGTAGCTAGAAAAAGAACTGGGAAATTTGAGCTGCGGAATTCCCATCAGTCCTAGAACCCGGGCGAATTTTGCCCTCACTGTCGCATGAGGTGCCGCTCCGCAGCCTGGATTAAACTGCCGGTACTGGCCTTAGCGAGTCGGCCTCGACCACAGGGCCTTCCCAGTGGTTCTCCAGACTCCCTGACGACCTGGTGAAAAGTCAGTGCACCCTGAGCAGGAAATACAAATCAGAAGCTCATGGCCTTTGCGTTATCCTGTTTATTCAGTAACTTTTTATGGTAAATCTTGCCTTATGTGACAAAATTATTGACGTGTGGTGCAGAGTGGCCTTCATTAACTTAGCAAACCTTCGTAAACCATTTTTTTGGGGGGCTTAGGGAAGATGCATATGGACAAAAAGGCTTTTAGAGGAAAAGACTTGGGAAAAAATTACCTTCTGTTTTGATTATTTTTCCAATTAATTTTGAAGGAAATCAAGTGAAATAATATATCCTGAGATAGCATACTCCTTAAACTTACATTATAGCTCATCCTTATTTTTTATATCAATTTGTTTAAAGATCCCACAGGTAACATTTACCTGGTTATGTACTTAGCAAATTGTATGAGATTGGTGTTGGTAGGAAATGTAGGATGTGTGGTTGTCTATGTCTAAGATAAAGGCTATTTAATGTGAGAGCAAGAACTTTACACTAGGAGTCATGAGACTTGGATTCTAATCCCAGAATTGTCTCTAACTAGATATGGAACTTTGAGGCTAATTTCAGTGGCCTTCAGCTACATCTTTTGAAAAAATGATAGTATTAGACAAAATAGTAAATGATTTTCAAGGCCCCTATGATTTTGAGTTTCTGTAGAATAGATGGGAAAATATACAAGCTAAAACCATATTGTCATTCACCAAACCCCATTTTCTTTGTATAAAATGTGTGACTTATATGGGACCTCTTTCTGGTCTACTAACTCCTCTTGCTTCCACTGTTGATGTGTCACAGGAAACTGTTAAGAAATAATTTGGTGGGCTGGGGATTTAGCTCAGTGGTTCTGC